GGGTCTGAGAATTTTTAGTAAGTCCAATGACATAAATAACACAGGCTTCTATTGGAGGCTTTTTTTCTGATCAATTTATTTCACAAATATTTTATTTATTTTTTCAGTTATGATTTTATTTGTGGTACTGAGGTTTGAATTCAAGGCCTACACCGTGACCCACTCCACCAGTGTTAGGTGGGTTTTTTTTTTTTCGTTTATTCATATGTGCATACAATGATTGGGTCATTTCTCCCTGCTTATCCCCAATTCCCCCCGCACCTCACTTCCAGGCAGAAACTGTTCTGCCCTTATCTCTAATTTTGTTGAAGAGAGAGTATAAACAATAGTAAGGACAAAGCGTTTTTGCTAGTTGAGATAAGGATAGCTATATAGGGAGATTCTTAGCATTGCTTCCATGTACATGTGTTATGTTCTAAGTTGATTCTTCTCGAACTGGCCTTTTCTCTAGTTCCTGATCCCCTTCTCCTATTGGCCTCTGTCGCTTTAAAGTTTCTGCATTAGTTCCTTTGCATTGAGGACATCAAATACTATCATGTTTTTTGGGTTTCTTACCTATCCTCGTACCTCCCTTGTATGCTCTTGCCTTATCATCACATATATTTTAAACAAGGTACAGGAGTATATTCTGGCCACAATGATAACTAGCTGTGTGACTTTGAAGATGTTTTTTTATGAAGAAGCCAAGCTTCTGATTAATTAAGCAGTGTTTTAGTTATCTATTCTGGGTTGCAAGGTTCAAGTGAAAAGTGGATATAAAAGTACCTAAAAATATATTGTAAGCATTTATTATTTTAGATCTAATTTTTATAACACTATTATAAAGGACTTGTTCTAGATTATCATTAAGGTGTCTTCTGACTCCAAAAATCTTTGAATCTTTATAAGCACCATATTGCCTACAAGAAGGCATAATCTATTTAAAAGGTATTTTCTTTAAAAAGCTGTTTTAATTACTTTAAAGGAGCACATGCTGACAAATTATGTCTTTAAATAAAAGTTTCTGGAAGTATGATAAATCTACTACATGATATGACTCATGGTTGGAAAAATGCAGAAGCTTTAAAGTGGGCAGCAAAGAAGAAAAACCTTTAAAATTGTAATTGAGGGAACAGAAGCTTGCTGTACTTAAGAATTTATCAGGAATTTCTGGTGGAGATGACAAGTGACTTATTGCTTAGCATAGAGGAATAATGGAACCTGAAATATGGCAAAAAAGACAAGAATTTTAAAGCATTTTGAGATTCTCTGTCCAAGTACTTATCATGAAAGAAACGCAGTGATCATAATAGCCAGGTGTTATGATGCACACCTATAATCCCAGCTACTTGGGAGGTGTTGTTAGGAGGACTGTGGTTTGAGGTCAGCCCAGGCAAAAAGTCAGTGAGATCCTAACTCAAAAATGAGCCGGGTGTGGTGGTACAGCCTGTGGTCCCAGTTACTTGGGAGGTAGAGGCAGGAGGGCTGCGGCCTAAGGCGGCTCTAGACAAAAGCACAAGACCCTATCCGAAACAAAGGAAAGCAAAAAGGGCTCAAGAGGTGGCTCAAGTTGTCTAACAAGCTTAAGGACCTGAGTTCAGAATGCAATACTATCAAAAAAAGAAACACAGAAGTTATAAGCTGGTGTCCTATGTTCTCATCCACTTAAATGTTTTACTGGCTTACTGGATATTTAAAAAGTATTTGAATCGATGTTTATGAATCTGGAAATTTTTGCATAAGATCCAAATTTTAGCTATACTTGACAAATCCAGCAATACCAAGCTCACAACCCCACAAAGCAAAATTTGGCTTGGGCTGGGAAGTAATGCCCCAGTTTGGTTAAGTACGTGCTTTCACATTCTCTAGTCCTCATTACTTCTGTTGTTTCCTTTACCTTACTTGTCCACACATTAAAGGCACCTGACTCTGTAACTGCAGTAAAATACAGAGCCACTTCAATATATTGTATGCTAAACCATATAATTCTATCACTTGGGCATTATTTTTGTATTATTTTGTATTTTTTGAGACATGATCTGGCTACTGTTACAAGGTTGGTTTGGAACGCCTTAGCCCAAGAGATCCTCACATCTCATTCTCTGAAGTAGCTGGGACTGTTGGTGTTCATCACTGGACCTCGCATAGTGGGCATTCCGAAATAATGCAATGGGAACTGAAGGAGGCACCAGGAGAAATTCTACTTATGTAAAAGTCAGTAAAAGATATTTTTCTTCTGTTAGTTCCTTTAAACAGAAGGAAGAATTCCCCCCCTCCCCCGACAGACACAGAGTGTAGTAAGCTCACTCTCACTCAAGCAACTGTTCACATGCCAGCAGAGTGCTTCATATGATTGACAGTATTTAGCTGGAGAAGCCAAGCAACATCATATGTCATACAGTTGGAGACTACAGTAGATTCTATTTTGCTTTGCTACCTGGCATTTGCTGGCAGAAAAATGTTGCAACATGCTCAATTTGGCTAATTAATTCAGACTCATGTGAATAAAATGTGCAGTGTCTAGTTTCTGAAGTGTGCCTAGGTCTCAGAGCAGGAACTGTTTTTGGGTGAATCTGGATGATGCCACTGGCTCTGGTATACTCCAATAGCAGACACCACTGTTAAGTTACTAGAAAATGACACATCCTACTTATGCAAAATGCTGTTTTATAACAACCTCCCATTTCAAAGTTCAGTACTACACAGTGGCCTTAGAAATACTAACCACATGGCTAGGGCATGGCTCAAGTGGTAGAGCACCTGCCTAGTAAGTGTGAGGCCCTGAGTTCAAATACTACTTCTGTCAAAAAAACCCCCCCAAAATCCAAAATACTAACCATTAATCTTTAGAAAAAGTATTTGCCCAGCACAGGAGCTATTTAGTTAGCTACTTCAACAGTGTGCAAGTAAAGAAAAAGAATTGGCATTTTACACACTGTTTCTCAAAGGCCAGTCCTCAGATCACCTCAAATTCCCCTGTACCTATCATTAAAAATATATTTTTCTACAGCATTCCAGAAATCAGAACCACTGAATCAAAATCTTTAAGTTTTCTACATTAAACTTGGAGAATTGTCTTAGGTTTATTTGTTCATTCACTAAATATTTAATGCTTACTATGTGCCAAAATTGAATTGCTTAAGAAGTTATTGGTAATAACTACCATACATACCATTATGACCACATTCTATGTACTATAAGCTAAGCTCAATCACTTTACATATATTTGAATTAGTTCTGTTTGACAAACTTAAAAAGTAAACTGTCCAAAGCCACCTAGCTAGTAAATGGTCCTGTTCTAAATCCCAGGTCTGATTCTAAAACCTACATCTTAATTATACATTGTTTTGCCTTCCTTGAAACCAAATTCAACTTAAAAATTGTTTCATAGTTCCATATGAGCAAATTTCCTTCTACCCAAAGAAGGCAACTAATACTGTATGTTATTTAGCTTTCAACATGGTGGCTAAAAGCATTCTGTGCCAATCTAGGAGATTTCCCTTTCAGAGCATTCTTTTCCTTTCACTGTCTTTCAAGATGAAAAACAAGTTCAGGGTATGAGGAACACATAAGCTTGAGAGTAAAACTTGTGATTATAAATTCCAACACTTCTCAATCCATTGGGCAGAGAATGTTCCTAATGAACTAAGTGTTAAATATAATCTTGATTTTGTAATTTTTAATAGGCTCTGCTTAATGTTACCCAAAAGCTATCACCAAAACACCCGGACCAATTAAAACTTGCAAGAGAATTTCATGGAGAAAAATAACATTGTCTAATGGATTGTGGCCAGATGTACAACAGTTGCCTTGGAATCTGCTTTGATAGCATCAAGATTCATCTGTATTTGAATTGCAAAGCCCACACATCCTTCAACAACAGTCTGCAGGGTGCCAGGAGTTGAAACTCATGAAACTATGCTGACATCAGTACATTTTGCTGCAGATTACATTGCATCAGCTCCAAGTATAGGCAAACTAGTAGCACTTTAGTAAAGGTAGGCAGTCTGTGTTGTTAGTTTAGGGCACTAACTTATACTCTACACACACAGGATTATTAAATGCTAAACTCTTTGTGTGCTAAGTGGGATTAATTTAACTAGGAATTCATGACAAGGTACAAGGGTATATGTAGTTGAATCTGAGAAGGTTTAATCATGATTGGGAAAGTATTCCTGCAAAAAAAGTTGAACTGAATCAAACCTCTAAACTATCAGTTCACAAGAAATAAGAGACCTCTTTTTTCAAAACATCCCAGGCTTAACTTTTTTGAAAAGCCAAATTTCCAGGGTTTGGGAGGTGGGGGTCAGGGCTAGATGGGGACTGAGGTTAGAGAGTTACAACACTCAAATACAAAACAGAAATTTTAATGAATTCTGCTTGGGGGTGGGGGTGGGCAAAAAGTGAGGAGAAGTTATAAAGATATTCTTAAGTCAATTAGGATGATTTGCACATGGACTACATTTTAAATATCACAGAATTAGTAATAATGATATTGTGCTTTGTAGGCGAATTGAAATTTTTAGGAAATTCATGTTAAGAACTCTTGGGGATTTCTGCCTAAAAACAGTGTCTGCAATCTTTTTCCAAATGATTCTCTGATAATTCAACAGTACGTGGGGGGGATGAGTTACGCATGACATAGTGCTAACAAATGTTGGGTATAATTGAAGGGTAAATGAATGTTCACTGTACATTTTTCCTTTTTTTTTTTCCCCCCAGACAGGGTCTTGCTATGTAGCCTGGGCTGGCTTTGAACTCAGAATACTCCTGCCTCAGCTCCTGGGTGCCCGTACTATCACACTAGGCTCTTTTTTCGTTTTTTAATGTCTGGACACTTTCATGACAAGACGTTTGTGAGGAAAATCATGCTGTAAAGACTTTAGAGGGAAACCTAAGAAAAAATTGCGTGTCAGGGACTACGTTAATTTTTATAAATTGAAGACCCATAAAGCATGGCTGGCAGTGTCTTGGTCATCCAAGAGACACCCAACATAGTCCATCTTTCCGTAAGTACTTACCAAAGGGCTCTTAGGGTCGAGTGAAATGATAGGTGATAGTGACTGTCCTAAAGGAGGTCCAAGAAGCGCCAGGCAAAACTTCCTGTTGGGGAGAATCTGGAAACACGTCTTCGAGGACAACAGAATTATGTGTAAAAATTCGCAAAGGTCACCGCTACAACAGACTACAATAAGTAACGTCAGAAGAAACAAGTAATTCATTTTAGCTGGAGCAAAGTACTGAAGTAGAAAGAAATTAGGGAGAGAAGGTGGATTTGCTCTCATTTTCTACTGGTTAGAAACAATTTTCAATTTACCTGAAAATTTTGGTCTTTGGTCGCAGCTTTAGGCATCCAATTTGGAATTATCAAGACGAGAGTTCTCCACTCAAACCTACAGAAGGAACTACATGAGATAATGTCATAATCTTGTAAAGAGCCATATAAAACTAATGCGGTATTTTTATGGTGTTTAGTCGTAGTCAAACGGGATTAGGCCAGTAAACCCCTACAGTCTACGAAAGACCCTAGCGAGAGACAAGGCAGCGTGAGGACAGGCGGCTGTTCTGGCCACTCACATTCCCCAGCCTTGCAAGCTCCGGGAAGGTCCGCACAGCGCTCCACAGGAGCTCGCGGGCGCGGTCGGGCGCTCCATTTTGCGGGAGTCCGGGCCCCGCCCTGCGGCTCGGCAGCCCCGGCTCGGCCGGGAGGCCCGGGCGGCCTCGCCCGACGGAGGCTCCGCGGGGCGGAGGGAAGGCGGGCCGCTACCCGGCCGGCCGGAAAGAAAGCCTTCCGCCAGCGGAAGTGGCCCCGAGCCCGCCAGCCTTCCCGGACCTCCGTCCCCCGGCACCGTGCGGCCCTGGCCTGTCCCGGGCGGGGGCCGACGGCTACTCACCTCACTCTGCAACCGCGGCGGAAGCCGGGGCCATTCCCACCTCTCAGCTCTGACCCTACTCAGAAGTGCCAAATGCAACTTCCGACAGGTGAGGGATTTTCGGAGCCCTCCTGTGTTGCCTTTCACAGTAAGTGATCAGACGTCTCAGTAAAATAAGGGTCAAGAACCAAACCTGCACTCCTGAACGCTAATTAACTTGTTTAATTTGGGATCTCTGGTCATCTATGCTCCCTCTTTGTGCCTACTTACAGAGGCGTCCCTTCTCAGACGGCTCAGTTGTTGCCGCGGGTAACGGTGAGAATGGGCAAAGGAGAAACCTACGTCACATTGGAAACAGGAAGTCAAGAAACTCTTGCTGCCCGTGTCAATTATGGCTGCTTTAGCTTCAAAAGTAATTTCCGACTGGGAGTTGTCGCTCTGCCCTACCAGAGGCTTACTCTGTAGTCCAGCTAGCGAGCGGCGCCCAGTGGGCGGGAGACCGCGTAGAATCACCGAGCAAAGGAAAAGGGAGGAGAGAGGGACGCTAGCGCTAAAGCCTCACTCTGATTGGGCAGCTTCACTAGCTCTGGCTCCGCCTACTGTTCTTCCCGAGCGAGTGACGAGCCCGCGCAGGAGGGATGGGGCGTGGCGATTGGTACGAGAGTGTGTGGAGGGGCGGGGCGAGTGGGGGAGGGGAGGGCGGGGGGCGGTGGTTGGGCAGCGTCGCTCCTAAAGAGGAGGAGGAGGAGGAAGAAAGCGAGCGAGGAGGATGGCGGAGTGCTGGCTCTTGACGGTAACCTGGGGCCGACAAGGCGGAGGGCGTCTGTGGGTCGGTTCTTCCTGCCTGCTTTCCTGTCCGTCCCGCAGTCGGGCCGGCAGTCAGTAGGGGGAGGCCCCGCGCGCCCTGTCAGGCGCGAGCCGGGGCGAGGCCCGAGGGGCCGGGGCCCTGGGAGGCGCCACCGCCGCTGCTTTCCTGGGTGCTGCCGCCGGAATTTCTTGGGCCCTGGGAGCCGGCTGGCGTTCGGAGCCAGCAGCTGGGCGCTCTGACAGCGCCGGGCCGGGCCTGCTGCGACGGGGCGGCGGGACAGCGCCGGGGCGAGGGCAGCAGGCGCGAGGGCGCCGGCGGGGGGCTCGGTGGAGGCCGCCTACAGCCCCGCTCCTCCGGGCTCCCGGGGCCGCGGGGCCCGGGCTGCGTGGCGCACGGAAGGTGGAAGTGGTTGGAGGGGCCCCGGGCTCCGTGGTGCTGGTATGGGGTGGGGTCTTTGTCTCGCCTCCTCCCCGAAGCCCCCCGAGCTCTCTCGTCCTCTCTCCCGCAAAGACCCTTCGGTAAAGAGTGGGGAGTCGGCTTTGGGCGTGTTGCCTGGTGAAGCGAGTTGTGGCCACCCAAGACCGCCTGTTAAACACGCCTGATGGCAATCTCTCCGTGATCGCTTTAGGGATAGAGGAAAAGTAGTTGAACTCCCCGCCCCCCTTCCTCCTTCCCCCTCCACCCCCCAGCTCTGAACGCCAGAGGCTTCAGGGCAAAAGGATTTTTTCCCAGCCCCTCTGTATCCATTGTTTTCTACTATCCCCTCCCCCATGCCTAGGTAGGAGAATAATGACTCCAAAGCTTTGCCCTTCTTTCTTTTCTTTTCTCTTTTCTCTCTTTCTCAAAAGCCGGGGGTTTGTATTAATTGTGAAAGTATGGATTTTCAAACAGGTGGATTGAATACCGATTTGAGAATTGTAAAGAAGATGCTTTTGGGGTGTGTTTTCAATTCAGCCCTTGACGATTTGATTTTCTTGTCTGTTGGTTTGTATCATCCTGGGTGTGATGAAAATAAAAGAGGAAGCACTGTTTTGTAACCTACCCACCAAAATATTTTCAAAGTCTCTGGGGATGCCGAAGCAAAATTAGGTTGCAGATGTGGACTGTATGGTATTTGTCTCTAGCATGATAGCTACCAAGCAGTCTCTAAGCTTACACCTGAGTAAATCTTGCACACTCTTCGTAGGTGCCAGCAGGTCTCATATCTACTAAGAAGTATTAGTGTATCAAAAACTTTTTGTTGTTTTCAGAATCCTTGGATATACTTGCGTAACCAAGTGTTTTATATCTAAATTACCAACACTGAAACATAGTTTTAATTTTAGAAACCTCAACTTTATTAGTGTACTAATCTCCACCTCACCCTTCCGTGCCATGATCCTTTATAACTATTTGTTACTATGTATTTAAAGAGATTTACCCATTACTTGTAATTAATAACAATCATTAAGTTTATGATTTGGATTTTATCAAATGTTTGTATTTTTATATGTGGCAGTGACAGTTTTTAGCATTGTAAGGTGCCTAAATGACCATCTCTCTGTATGGAGCTGACACTGAATATGTTAAACCTTTTATACTTGTTAGGACATAGAGTACACTGTAAATTTTTTATGTAATTGGGAATGTGCATTTGAAAAAATACACCATAGACAAAAGTACAGGTTTTTGTGTAATGTAACTTTCAGATTGCTTAAATGTAATGTAAAGGGTAGCTTATAAAATTGCATGTGTAGTTACGGACAGGACTTGTGGTTAAGACTACTACAGCTTCCCAAGGTGCTTGCTCACTTTTGAAGAAACTTTGTCTCAGTTGACATTTGTTTTTGATCTCTTGTTGTTTTTCTCTTACTAGAAATGTTTATGGATTAGAGTGATGTTAAAAGATGCAGTAAAGTTTGCAGCTGGATTATTTTTTAGTTTTTTAGACTACCATATTCAGAAAGTTGATGAGAACTGTTTTTGGAAGCATCATACATCAGCTTGTGAACAACAGTAAAAAATGCGAAGCATTTTCATGTTTACATAGGAAAACTAAAATATAAAATCTTTTGTAATACTTAATGGAATATGCTTTTAGAACATTAGTGTTTTTTCTGTGCCTTGGGACAGGGCATGATGCCTCCCCATACCCAGTGAAATTCTACACGAAGTGCTCTCAAAGATGGCTTCTGCATAGTTACTTTTTTTTTTTTTGTTTTGACTTACCTATATAGATTGTGGGGAGTGTGCTTAGTTAATTTAAGTCATACTTGTTTTGAAAATATTCTGGATTACTAATACTGTTTAATTCCATATTTCTTAAAAACTTGTGCTCTTTAGATTAAGTACTTTTAGATTATTTTTAGTAAAAATGATATTTAAATATAAGAACCCTGTTGCATTTTTGACATACATAGATATAAGTATGCATAGTTTTGAATAGTGAAGATTAAATGAATATCTCTAAAATTCAGTTGTCATTCATATGTCCTTTATATGTGCAAAAAAGCATGAGATCTATGCTTATAATAAACAAGACAACCCAAAAATATTAAAAAGCAATCCAACAAGTTAACTTACAAATCCTTTGGTGAGTTACAGGGTTTATAGCTTGGACTTGGTGTAAGAATTCTGAAACTTCATTATAAAAGTATCAAGAGATGAAATTTAGATATAAAATACTTTGACAGTTCCTAATAAGACTAGTAGGAAATTGATAACTATTTTATTGTAGATGAATTAGATAAATACAGACTGTAACTTAGCAGTAGAATGATATGTAAATACTTTCATGTGATACTTGAAAAATGAGTCCTGCAAATACTAGTTTGGTAGATATTTTTAGACTTCTAGTATATGTTTATGCACACATTATATATTATGCATTAGACATTATGCTGTAAGGCTAATAAACTAAGTTATGAACATAAAACATCTGCTATCCTTGTGTCCCCCTATTTTAAGTGCTTAGTCTTGTCTTCACAATTTTTCATTTACATGTAAAACTATATCATAAAAATTGTGTCCTGTTGATCTTTATATTAATACTATCTGTTTATATAGTAGTTAAATTTTTGTATTTTCCTACCTTCCTGTTCACACTTAACGCTTAAAGTCTAAAAAGTTTTAGCTACAGCTGAATTGCGATGTGCTTGAATTTGATAGGTTTCATATTCTGAAAATGCACTTCTTAATCAAGGTGATTTGAAAGAACAATGCAGCAGTCTGTAAAACTTTTATTTTCTAAATATGTAGCTGCATTAATATTAGGTCAAATAGTGTTCAAGTACTTTTTTCTGGTTCCCAACTTTTTATCATTGTCTTTAGTTCAGCAAAGTTCAAACACATAGAAAGATTATTATAATTACAAAGAGCCCTTAAGCTTTTGAGATGCTGGTAACATATGTGCTTCTTGAGAAAGTATGCAGCTCTCATTATCAAGATTTAAAAGAAAACTAATTAGATTTCACACTCTGTGTCTCATTCTAATGTTTGAAGATCAGAACTATTGCAAAAGTAGTGCGTTTTGTGAAAGGTAAGAGAGAATGAACATATTGCTTTTAGCTAAAACATTACAGGAGACCTTAAAAAGGGTATAATTGGTCCTTATGTGAAGGATACCTGACTTTTATGAATTATGTTAGCAGTCTCTTTGAGTCTCTTTGAAGACTTCTAGTGTTTCAGTACATTATATACCCTCCATTACTATCTAGAAGTCCTACAACTTTAATTAAGTAATTTTATAGCTGATAATTTCTAATGTCCTGGGGGGAATATGGAAATGGTTTGTTTTAACAGATAATTTCTAGAACTTGTAGTTCTAATTTCATCAGTTAAGATTTGGACTTTCTGAGTTTTCGGTTTTTGTGTTACGAAGCACTTCCTGCTTTCAAGACAGTAGTCTTCAAATTAATTTTTCACTTCTGTTCTATGTCTTACTAACTTTATGTTCATATTCATTAGTGTCATAGAACTTCTATTGAATGCCATATGTGTCATGCTGTGAAGATGCAGAGGTAAATGGATCATGTTTTCTGTTTAGGGTTTATTGAATGAACCTGCCAAGTCAGTAGTTTGTTATACAATGTAGCATGTGCTTTAACAGCATTATACATTGACAAACTCAGATGTGGTAAAAGTCAGCTACCCTTATCACTGACAATGCTTACTGTAGGATAAGGCCTGTGCTAACTTTTGAGGAATAAATATTATAGAAAAAAGGAAGAAAACCCACAAATGTTAGAGACATCAAGGTCCATTTGTAAAATATCAGTGAATAACTAGTTGAATTCCAGTAATACTATTTTAAGTCCTACAGTAGACTTTCACTAAAGCTTATATTTTTACTGGTTATTTTTTGTGTGCCTAATTTAATGTTGAGGGGCTATTCCAAATTATTATTTAAAACTAAGTGAGTTTTTCGTTGATATTTTAATTAAATACAAGGGTCGCATATTAGCCTAACCAATTTTGTGGTAATCCCCAGGCTTAGGACTTGGTTATTGATAATGTATTTCAAACCATATTTAAATACTTTTTTTCTCTTGTAAAACATATTGACGAACCTTTATAAACTCCCTTTGAACTCAGGACACATTTTGATTATATAAGCATTTAAAATTTGTTCTTCTGAGTATATTTAAAAATCTTGGCATACTTTCCTGAACAGTGTCCACTCTTTTTTAGGTAACTCAGACTGTATGATCAGCAGTTGTGTTCTGATATGAAGGCTTTGCATGTTCTTATTGTCTGAATTTTGAGGACTGAGTAATTTTCTTTTTTTGAGACAGGGTCTCCCTAGGTAGCCCATGCTGGCATGGAACTCTTGATCCTCCTGCCTCAACTTCCTGAATTCTGGAATTACAAGTGTGTACCACCACACCCTGTGATTAAGTAATTTTTCATATAGTGTGATTTAATACTTCTTCAAGGGTATAGTGAAGCCTATTTAGATGTCCCAAATCCATCCTGTCCATAGGTGCTGTAGTTGTCCATATTGCTTT